CGACCCACAAGACACAAACCTCATTCTTGACCCACAAGACCTAAACTCCATTCTGACATTCTCAACCCACAAGACACAAACCCCATTCTCAACCCACAAGACACAAACCTCATTCTCGACCCACAAGACCTAAACTATATTCTCTGACAATCTCAACCCACAAGACACAAACCCCTTCTCGACCTACAAGACACAAACCCCTTTCTCAACCCACAAGACCTAAACTCCATTCTCTAACAATCTCGACCTACAAGACACAAACCCCTTCTCGACCTACAAGACACAAACCCCATTCTCGACCCACAGGACCTAAACTCCATTCTCTGACAATCTTAACCCACAAGACACAAACCCCATTCTCGACCCACAAGACTTAAACTCCATTCTCTGACAATCATGACCAACTGTCCAAGATATGACCGTCATTCTCTGCCAATCGTGACCTAAATGCACAACAACTGCATATCACATTTAGCTGATAAAGCACTATTCCATTAAATCTCTCTCATCATCAGATGAAATCACCAGATGGCCTTGCAGCTGTGGTGTGTAGGTGTCAATTGGAAGGAATACAAGTCGTGGACACAAGCCTACAGCAAGAAGCACCCTCCACAGCAACACTCAGATAATTAGTTGCATACAAGCACTATCTTTGTGATCTTCACTGGATGCCTTAAGCAAGCTCATCTATGTCAGTCTGACTTGTATTAAGAAAATGTTGTAAGACTTTGCGATGTGTGTGTGTGTGTGTGTGTGTGTGTGTGTGTGTGTGTGTGGGGGTGTGTGTGTGTGTGTGTGTGTGTTGGAGGGGGGGGGGGGGGGAGAAAAAAGAGAGGTTACGGCTCTTCGCCCTAAATATTCATGATGGTTCCAATTTCAATTAAATACTTTCCTCTTGGAATTCTTCATAATTTATTGTGTTTTGAAGGTTTTGAGAAACATGTTTTTATTATCGTTTTTTCAAGAATTTGTTTCTTTCGATTGTTTTTTGCTCACATTTTACATATTTCTGGCCGGAGGAATTAAAAACACACTTATTTTTTTTATATCTTATTTTCACATTTCAATTTTTTGTAGTTGGCGGATTCCTAAACAAAGTTTTAAAAAATGTCTGTCCTAAATTAGCATTTTGGGTTTATGATTTATCATACTTATGTCTGCCAACAGTGGCTGTCATATAGATGTAATTAGGGTGACTGAGGACAAACGTCACTCACTCTTTCACAACCATGTGAGCAAATGCTTCGAAACAGGTTGCTGGGGATCAACACTAAACCTGAATCTCCATGTGGTCTCAGTCACAAGTATATGATTAAAAGCGTCAAGGGATAATAATAATAATAATAACAACAACAACAGACTACTTATATTGCGCATATTTCTATACCACCCAGAGGCATGCTCAAAGCACTATTATTAGCCAAGTCACTGGTTCAGTGTGCACTCAAGAATCATTCTCAGCTCCCTGGGGAGTATACAACCAAGGCTTCTTGTTAAGTGCTAGAAGGTTAACAATCACATTGCCATCTCATCCTACCGGGTACCCATTCACTGCTAGATCAACAACAGCAGCTACATAAATGGAGTGGACGCCAAATGGCCAACAATTTGAAACTGCAGGATCTGCATCAGAAAGACTCGACTGTCGACACCCCCCAACCTGATGGCATAGACATGTTTTAAGGTTGTTCTTATCTTGTACTAGACATTTTTAGAATGGTTGGACTGACCCAAACAAGTGAGAAGCAGCATTCTTCATGTTCAACCTACATCACATCAAGCTTTGAACCAATGTTTGGCATCGAACCTATGGTTTGACCACTTCACTATCCACTACTCCAGACTGCCTGGAGAACCACACACACTCTCAGCAACACACACAGACAGCCACCAACCACCATAAATTGGCTTCGAAGATAATTAACATTTATTGGCCCACCAAGCAGTCGTGACCAAGGTTTAACTGCTTCGAAAGTCATTCACTAAATCTAGTAGATGAGATAAGGGACGCTTATGGACAATGAACAGCACCCAGCACCCAAGTTTAATATGAGAAAGCTAAGCTCTTCATCTCCCAAGGCGCTTTACATCCCTGAATGTTCACTTCACACTATTAGATGCAACATTGCCTTTTTAAGAAAGGAGAGCATGAAAGAACAAGAAGGGACTTTGTCAAAATTAATTCTTCATTATTTCCACTTTATTCGCCTCCACGTGGAATATCATTCTTCCACACTCCTCAGTCTGAATCAACTTGAAGTATTTCCCCATCTACTTGGGGGATTCTTCCTGCCAATAGGGCAAGGTGGATGTCCATTTCCATCTTGAAAATTACAAGGTAATTCTCCATGGATGTAAGTTTTTCTCAGAAAATGAATATCCCTGTCATCAAATTAAGGGTAACGTGCGGACCTGGGGACCAATCATGGCTGCGCAGGACTTGGACCAGATGAAAGACTAACCTATTGGGAGGAGGAGATTAAGCCTTTTCCTAGGTGTTCCAGTCTTAAGTGTCTGCATTAACCTGTGAGGTGAAATTGGGTTTAACGTCGCGTCCAAGATTATTGCACTTATATAGCGACGTGCATGCACGTGTGTGCATGGCTGCTTGTACTCGTCCAGACTGAGGCTGATTTATAGTGCTAGCTCACTGAGATACCATGCCGCAGTTTAACATGAACACCCTACTCAGACACAGTATACTGACTCCGAGCCGACCAGTCCTTGTTTTAGCCCCTTAATGCAGAGTGCCAGACAGGGTAACAACAAGTACCATCTTTTAACGTCTTTTGGTATGACAGGGCTGGGATCGAACCACAGACCTTCCGCTCTCCGGGCGGACGCTCTACCACTAGACCACGGAGGCGGCCTTGCATTGACCTCTTCCTGTCTGATGAAGCCAGCTTGAAAGTAGAGGTGAGAACAGGGATGTCTGCTTTGGAGGAAATAGCTGAAAGAGATCAGACCCCAGAAGGAAATACAGCTGTCTACTGAATACTGTCTCAGTCCACGTAACTACAGCTGTCTACTGAATACTGTCTCAGTCCACGGAACTACAGCTGTCTACTGAATACTGCCTCAGTCCACAGAACTACAGCTGTCTATTGAATACTGTCTCAGTCCACAGAACTACAGCTGTCTACTGAATACTGTCTCAGTCAAAAGAACTACAGCTGTCTACAGAATACTGTCTCAGTCCACGGAACTACAGCTGTCTACTGAATACTGCCTCAGTCCACGGAACTACAGCTGTCTACTGAATACTGTCTCAGTCCACGGAACTACAGCTGTCTACTGAATACTGCCTCAGTCCACAGAACTACAGCTGTCTACTGAATACTGTCTCAGTCAAAAGAACTACAGCTGTCTACAGAATACTGTCTCAGTCCACGGAACTACAGCTGTCTACTGAATACTGTCTCAGTCCACAGAACTACAGCTGTCTACTGAATACTGCCTCAGTCCACAGAACTACAGCTGTCTACTGAATACCGTCTCAGTCAAAAGAACTACAGCTGTCTACAGAAAACTGTCTCAGTCCACGGAACTACAGCTGTCTACTGAATACTGTCTCAGTCCACGGAACTACAGCTGTCTACTGAATACTGCCTCAGTCCACAGAACGTTTCTTTTGGCAGTGCGTATAAATACCAGACAGTCGGTCGAGTCATATACTGCAGATATATAACAGACACTGGGGCTGACATTGAATGTTTTGTCCACCTGTTGCCATGTTCTCTGCAATGCATAACGCGGGGTATCATGTGTCCGGGGGTGCATGCTTTTGTTTGTTTGTTGTTTAACGCCACACTCAGCAATATTTGCTATATGACGGCGGTCTGTAAATCATCGTGTCTGGACCAGAAAATCTAGTGATTGACATCATGAGCATCCATCCACGCAATTGAGATATAGGACATGCATCAACCAAGTCAGAGAGCCTGACCACCCAATCCCGTTAGTTGCCTCTTACGACAAGCATAGTCGCCTTTTACAGCAAGCATCAGAAGACCTATTCTACCCCGGATCTTCACGGGTAACGCCTTTGTTAAAGCAGGGAGCTAAGATCCCCTCAGCGCTACAATTGCCTTCAGGAAAAGACCCTTGCCACTATTCTGCAGCACTTCAAAGATCTACTACAATGGTGAGAGTATCCAAACGGCGGCTGTGTGATACGGTTCATACCACCATACAAGAACAGGGTTCCCGCTGGCTTTTGAAACGGCAAGTCCTGGGCCCCGTTCCTCAAAGCGATCTTAGCGCTAAGGTGATCGTAAGTCCCATACTTTAACATAGGCTTACGATCATCGCCGCGCTAAGATCGCTTTGAGGAACGGGACCCAGGTGGACTGGCAACTCTAAAACAGACCAGTCCCACCCATACTTTTTGTCAGTCTCAACTTTCAAAAACAAAAAAAATCATATAAATCTTACCTGGTCTTAATTCTTTCAACATGTTAAAATCATTGTACATTCATAGCTGACAAATGCAATGACATCATCCCTGAAGTAACTTAGTTAAATCTACACATCATTCACACAAAGTTCGGTCACAATTTTCTCTCTTTATTTGAATATTTCACTTTGGTTCGAGACTAAGTTGCTATAAATAAATATATATATATATATATATCCTTGAAGCAAAGCAAAATAAAAAATAGACCAGGGGAAACCCTGATGGTAACAAACAAGCTGACTTCGTTAAAAAAATATACTTTTATGAATATCATCAATGTTTTGTTCAACAACCGGTACTTTATTTGCGGGTCCACAGAGACTGACAGTCACATGAATTACCGGTCCAAGCCTCATCTTACCGGTAAAAAACGGGTAATTGCTGGTTAACAGGACACTGAAGAAGTGTAATATCCCGATACGACATATCTACTTGACACGACTGGTGTATCTTGTATCGTGACAACATGCTGCACCACCAGTCCCTGGTTTGCCTGCACCAGGCTTGACCTGACAACACTGTACAAGGCTGGAGCATGACCTACCTTCCACATCCAGTGGTGTTTGGCCTGGCAGTACTTGGCTTCCCGGTAATGGCCGTACTTGTCTGGGTGGGCAGCATTATTACAGTTGCGTTTTAAAGCTCTGCAAGAACAACAACATCAGTGAGTGAGTGAGTGAGTGAGTGAGTGAGTGAGTGAGTGAGTGAGTGAGTGAGTTGGGTTTAACACCGCTTTTAACAGTATTCCAGTTAAATCACGGCGTGTCAGCTTAATGTGGGAGGAAAGCCAGAAGTGATGAGGGTCTGAGACGTTTACCAGTTCGGTGAAACCCACGAGCACGGGTATGGTGCTGACAAACCTAGAAACATAATCGGGCCGAACCGGGATTCGAAACCACAATCATAGGTTTTTGTGTGCCCAAGGGACGCAACTCTGCACAGCGAATGGCGGCGCCTTAGACGACTGGGCCACCCGTGTCCCCAACAACAACATCAGGCATGTGTCATAACACTTGTCGTTCTGTTTGATCCGGTTTGTGTTCTGTTAAGGGTAACACAAGCGTCACTGGACATTCATTAAAAACAAGAGTCATCAGGAGATGACATATCCCCCAGTTACTTCTACCCCACTTTTGGTACATTGCCATTGGATACCTTCAGTTCGGTGAAGAAAAATATAATGCTGTTCAGTATTTTTCAAAATCCCTAATCATCAAAAGGGACTTAAAATAAGTTCACCACTAGACTGATGTGTATAGCAAGTTACTCTGATCGCTACATCCCACCATTTTTCAAGCCGGGGGATAATAGCGTACAAGCCAGTGAAGCAAGTATCATTATTGGTAACAAATGTCCAGTTATGTGTGCATGTCTGACTCAAAATACAAAGTACAACAAAATACTGCATAATCAGATTTAAAAAACAGCCTGAAATTGAAAAAAAATCAATAAATAAACAAGAGGAAAAAAACCCCGACCCGCCTAGTGTGTCAGTTGTTTCAAATTAAATAGCTAGGATAGGGTAAGGGTTTGAAAAATGCACACAAAAAATGGAAAATTAATAAAAACAATTTTCTTTCTTTTGACAGCACCCCTCCATATGACACAGATTATATGTACTAAGTTTGAGATGAATCCACTGAGTAGTTTAAGAGAAATCGCGCGGACAAAGTTTTTGGACGGACAGACAGAGAGATGGACAGACAGACGGACGGAGCCTTGGTATAACTATATACCCCTGACCTTTAAGGTCGGAGGTATAATTAATATACAAAACACAAATAGGCCTCAAGGAAAGTTCATGCAGCACTTTTGTAATACATGAGAATCTTTAACTTGTGTTATGATTTTCCATGCCGCTTTTGAACTAGCCTGCATATCAGGTTCATGAGGCCGACCCCTAGCATCTAAAAGGTTGCCCCTTAATTAGCATCTCACTGTTCGAGGACAAGTGGAGAGCGAGATAACAGTATCTGAACACAAATGGTTCAAGACAATGAAAGCTGACTCTTGTTTAACGCAGCACTCAGCAATATTCCAGCTATATGACGGCGGTATGTAAATAATCGAGTCTGGACCAGACAATCCAGTGATTGATATCATGTGCATCGATCCAACCAAATGGGATCGATGACATGCATCAACCAAGTCAGTGAGCCTGACCACCCGATCCCGTTAGTCGCCTTTTACGACAAGCATAGTCACCTTTTACGGCAAGCATGGGTTGGTGAAGATCTATTCTACCCCGGAATCTTCACGGGTCGCTGACTCTAGGGCTTGCAGCATATACCACATATACCAGATACATGAAGGTGATAAATACCACCAAAAGAAACGTGAATACCATGCTGAGCGACATAAAAACAGCGTGGTGTTCTGCACAGGGGGTATCATGTGGCAAGTGGAGTGTGGTGTTCTGCACAGGGGGGTATCATGTGGCTGGTGGAGCGTGGTGTTATGCACAGGGGGGTATCATGTGGCACGTGGAGTGTGGTGTTCTGCACAGGGGGGAATCATGTGGCACGTGGAGTGTGGTGTTCTGCACAGGGGGGTATCATGTGGCAGGTGGAGTGTGGTGTTCTGCACAGTGGAGTATCAGGTGGCAGGTGGAGTGTGCTGTTCTGCACAGGGGGGTATCATGTGGCAGGTGGAGCGTGGTGTTCTGCACAGTGGGGTATCATGTGGCAGGTGGAGCGTGGTGTTTTGCAAATTGGGGTATCATGTGGCAGGTGGAGTGTGGTATTCTGCACAGGGGGTATCAGGTGGCAGGTGGAGCGTGGTGTTCTGCACAGTGGGGTATCATGTGGCAGGTGGAGCGTGGTGTTCTGCACAGGGGGTATCATGTGGCAGGTGGAATGTGCTGTTCTGCACAGGGAGGTATCATGTGGCAGGTGGAGCGTGGTGTTCTGCACAGGGGTGTATCATGTGGCAGGTGGAGCGTGGTGTTCTGCACAGGGGGTATCATGTGGCAGGTGGAGCGTGGTGTTCTGCACAGGGGTGTATCATGTGGCAGGTGGAATGTGCTGTTCTGCACAGGGAGGTATCATGTGGCAGGTGGAGTGTGGTGTTCTGCACAGGGTGGATCATGTGGCAGGTGGAGCGTGGTGTTCTGCACAGGGAGGTATCATGTGGCAGGTGGAGCGTGGTGTTCTGCACAGGGGGTATCATGTGGCAGGTGGAGCGTGTTATTCTGCACAGAGGTGTATCATGTGGCAGGTGGAGCGTGGTGTTCTGCACAGGGGGGTATCATGTGGCAGGTGGAGTGTTGTTCTGCACAGGGGTGTATCATATGGCAGGTGGAGCGTGGTGTTCTGCACAGGGGGGTATCATGTGGCAGGTGGAGCGTGGTGTTCTGCACAGAGGGTATCATGTGGCAGGTGGAGCGTGGTGTTCTGCACAGAGGGTATCATGTGGCAGGTGGAGCATGGTGTTCTGCACAGAGGGTATCATGTGGCAGGTGGAGCGTGGTGTTCTGCACAGAGGGTATCATGTGGCAGGTGGAGCGTGTTATTCTGCACAGGGGGTATCATGTGGCAGGTGGAGCGTGGTGTTATGCAACGGGGGGTATCATGTTGCAGGTGGAGCGTGGTGTTCTGCACAGGGGATATCAGGTGGCAGGTGGAGCGTGGTGTTCTGCACAGGGGGTATCATGTGGCAGGTGGAGCGTGTTGTTCTGCAATGTGGGGTATCATGTGGCAGGTGGAGCGTGTTATTCTGCACAGGGGGTATCATGTGGCAGGTGGAGCCTGTTATTCTGCACAGGGGGGTATCACGTGGCAGGTGGAGCGTGGTGTTATGCACAGGGGGGTATCATGTGGCAGGTGGAGCGTGGTGTTCTGCACAGGGGGGTATCATGTGGCAGGTGGAGCGTGTTATTCTGCACAGGGGGTATCATGTGGCAGGTGGAGCGTGTTGTTCTGCACAGGGGGTATCATGTGGCAGGTGGAGCGTGTTATTCTGCACAGGGTGTATCATGTGGCAGGTGGAGCGTGTTGTTCTGCAACGGGGGGTATCATGTGGCAGGTGGAGCGTGTTATTCTGCACAGGGGGTATCATGTGGCAGGTGGAGCGTGTTATTCTGCACAGGGAGGTATCATGTGGCAGGTGGAGCGTGTTATTCTGCACAGGGGGTATCATGTGGCAGGTGGAGCGTGTTATTCTGCACAGGGGGTATCAGGTGGCAGGTGGAGCATGGTGTTTTGCACAGTGGGGTATCATGACATCAAAGAAGCAGCAGCATCTGCTGATGCTCTATCCTCACTAAAAGTGTGTCACCGTCACACTTTGATTCAACTCTTTCACCTACATAGACTTTCCTATGAGAAAGTTGTAAACATCACATAGAAGCGTTTCTATTTATGCATGTACATTTCGTTAAGTTGCCTTCTATAAACTTTATGCTGATGGTGCTAATCTACAACAACAAAACTCAATATGTAGTCAACGGTTTAAAAAACTGTTAACAAAGGCAGCTAAGAGCTGCCGCCATCATTGATTTTCACATATTTTCTGCACAAGATAACTTTGATCCAGAGGATAAACACAGTGGAAAGAATTTTGTAGCATCCCTACCGATTGATGTCATATAGCGCACATGTGTAATGCAGAAGATAAAACAAATTGTAATTTGCATGTGGTACCTTCAGAATCAGGAATGAGAATATGGCCCTATTGGGTTTCAATATTTATGTAATATATAAGTAGAAAACAAACATATTATGAAAACAGAACTCGCAGTATGTTTTCACAACAATGACTTCTTGAAACATTTGTTATTTTTTTCAAGGAACATATGGGGGTATTAAAGCCCCACCCTGACTATAAATAGCCCGCAAGGTGGCAATGTTTCAGTTTCGAACAATGACTGACAATGTAAACACAACAGAGTGTCGGGAGACGTTTTTTTAAAACCATACGGGAACGAGATCACCATTGACCATCAAACTTCGTATCAATTTGAATGACAAACCATGGATACAACAAATGGCTCCATATCAAGATATAAGTCAATAAATTTTCTGTAGTTTTATCCTAAAAAATCGAATCGATCGTGTTTGGCGTCTGCATCGATCACAGTGCTCATGTGCATCACGACAAACGTATTTCGTTCTAGTCCAGAGATCTAGAACTATCATTTGTGTGTTGGATAAATCGTGGACATTCACATGGTATCATTTTATGAAGATGTGAAGACGACATGGCAGGTAGGTTTTGAAACCAAAGATGTACGCGTTTGTTGAAAAGTCTTGGAATCGTTTGGCAGATATTTATATTACCATTAAAACTTACGTCCTTGTTGTCAAACGACCCACGTGGGTTGGTGTTTACATGACGTCAATCGTTTACGCATTAACCAATGAAATGTATGTGTTATCATGACGTCATATTGACCTGTCAAATCACTTGTATAAGCTCCGCCCACTAGAGTGCGGTAGTTACTACCGCAGATGGGGCTTTAAGTTGACTCAATCATAGTGGTATACATGATACTGTTGACATTGATATATCTACAGTGGTAAAGTTATTAATATTATTTCATAATTAATCTTTTCAAAGCAACAGCTACATTGTTGTAGCATTATTTTATAATTTAAATCTGTACATGGAGACATGCCGATAATGCTAAAATTGAAACCCAAAACGTTGTGAGTGCGTTTGTTTTTTTGCAACCATGAACCCATGATGGTTACCTCCCTAGTGGTAATATGTTTACCCCTGTATTCTGACACGTCAATTATTCACACTGTCCAAAAGTGCTAATATCCCCCTAAACGGAAACTGGGTCAATGTTTCTCCCATAGCGATATGTTGTGTTCCTGTTCATATCATAAATGTGTTTAGTGTAATAATTTACAGTTAGGAATGTTTTCAAAAATATTTTAATAAGTTTTTACATATTTGGGTTGAAGACCTATTCTACCCTGGATCTTCACGGGATCTTCATGGGTATCCATGACATAAGCTCACTTGACTTGAGCTAAAACATTATGATGATTTAAGGTAAACCTGTAAACTCTGCATGTGAGAATGTCCCGTCATGTTGTAGGTGATCAAATGTACTTACTGGTCCTTTTTAATGTCTCTGGGACAGTCGTTTGGATGCTCTGACGGAAACCCAGTTTGATATATTTGTTGAGAAAAGGGAAAGAATATCTGCATGACCTGAAACGAGAACAAACAGATTGCAGTGTGACTTATAATCATGATAATCACAACCAGGGCGGAGACATGCTGGTAATCCCAATTAGTGGTGTTCTGCACAGGGGGGTATCATGTGGCAGGTGGAGCTCGGTGTTCTGCACAGGGGGGTATCATGTGGAGCGTGGTGGAGGTAGTGCCAATTTCTAACGCTGCCTTAGCGCTACGATGATCGTAAGTCTATGTTAAAGTATGGGAGTTGCGATCACCTTAGCACATGGTAGTTTATTCTGTGAGGGGCTTAATGCTGTTTTGAACAGATCTCAGTCATCACAAATCTCATGTCACACTGCTTCAGCTTAATGTCACAGATGTGTACCACTTTAGAGAAACCCACAAGCATCAAAGCCAACCTGGGATTCAATCCATGAAAAGCAGATCCTGATACTGCTAACCTGGATCTTCACAGGGGAGACCAGCATGGTTCGCTGAGGACCACTTGTAACCCGGATCTTCAAGGCTCAATGATTGGATGAGCTATCAATGCATCTATCATGTTATTACCACAGTATAAATGTCCAGGATAGTTGCCCTGAGATCACATGTAAAAAGGTGGCAGTGACAAGGGGGAAATGTATATTATAATACTACTCCATGTCAGAGTGATGAGATCTGATTGGTCCATGTGATCTTGATCTACCTTAGAGGATAATAAATTTGTCAGCGGGAGAATCAAACTCTTATACCTCTGGCTCACGGTATAAAACCTAACCCGGGACACATAAAACCCCATGTACCCCTCATGATCCTGCTACAACTTATAGTTATACCATTGGAGCCATCACGGGTGTGACACTAAAAAAGTCATGAAACAATCCTTCCAATATAGCTGTTGAAAGTGAGAGAGAGAGAGAGAGAGAGAGAGAGAGAGAGAGACACACACACACACACACACACACATAGAGTGAGAGTGACACACAGAGGGAGAGTGACACAGAGATTGTGAGAGAGAGAGAGTGAGCACAGATCACGTGATGAGTGATTTGGGATCTAGTGTCATACAGCGTCTACAGTCAGTAGAACCCTCACTGCTAGAGGAGCTTACAATTACCTGAGAGTGAGTGTGTCAAGAGTGTCAAGAGATTGTCGAGAGAGGGTGTCCAGAGAGAGAGAGTGTCTGTCAAGAGAGGTCGACGAGAGAGGGTGAGAGAGTGTGGAGAAAGAGAGAGAGAGTGAGTGACAGAGTGAGTGAGAGAGTGAGTGAGAGACACACAGAGAGACTGAGAGAGTGAACACAGATCAGCTTCGGGGCACACTACTATAAGTGCTAGTCTCTCCACATGAGTGATCTGGGATCTAGTGTCATACAGCGTCTACAGTCAGTAGAAACCTCACTGCTAGAGGAGCTTACAATTACCTGAGAGTGAGTGTGTCAATCAATCAATCAATCAGTTTATTCATATATAACTGTAAGGCCACAGGACCATAGTACAGAATACATGACAATGTGGAAGCGGTTAGGAATGTTACAAGGATTCATTTCTTAATAACATGGCATGATATATAAAGAGAGAGAGATTTTGTATAGCTGTTTTGCTCACATGTGAAATGAAAGAGATAAACTTGTATTTATTTGGATGTACATAGTATTTCTGTTCATTATATTTTTTCCTTAAATTATCATATTTACAACATACAAGTAGAAAATGAAATTCATCTTCGACAACATTTAAAGAACATTGTTTACATAATCTTAAACATTTGGATATTTTGTTGTGCCTGCCAACTTCAACCATTAACCTGTGTGAGCTGCATCTAAATTGTGTTAATGATATTCTGCATTTTCTTATATTTACATCAGTTAAACATGTTAAATATTTTTCTGCGCATATTTGCATTTTAAAATATCTATAATATTCGCATTTGCTAGAAACATCTACAGTAGATCTCCATGTTTGAAAGTACATGTCAAAAAGCGTCTGCCTTATTTTCGATATGAACATGGCATGATTCTCTAAGAAACATTGGTTTTCCCAGATGTAACCATACCCACATTTATACAGTAGACATTTAACATTGTATGCCCAATTTTTATCTCCATTCTTTTCATACAATAGCATCATATTATAACCTTTTTTTTGGCAATCTACTTACTGGCATTTTTAGTAATTTTAACCAGTATCTTATGATTTTTAAGTAGTGATATATATACAAGGGCATGCGACCACATTCACCATAAACCATTATGTTAGACGTACTATGTTTAACACCAAGAAATCTTTTGCATGCGTATAAATGTACGGATTCAATTTCTTTAGCCTCTGCAAAACCCCATATTTCTGAACCATAGGAAAGAATAGGAGCTATTTTTGTGTCAAAGATTTTGAAAAAAGATTTATAAGCACACTCGCTAAAATGTTCAAACGTTTGTAAAATGCCCAATAGCATCTTTTTAGCTTGGATTGCTGCATTACATATATGTCGGTTCCATGATAATTTACTTGAAAATATTACACCAAGATATTTATATGAGGTTTCAGTTTGGAGTAATTGTCCCCAAAAGTACCACTTTTCGTTTTTTGACAGCGTATTTCCTTTGCTAAATACAACAATTTTTGTCTTATCTAGATTAGCATTAAGTTTCCACGTATCACAGTACAATTCTAGCTGATTTATCAAAGTTTGTAAACCTTTTACAGTACTCGAGAACATGATTATATCATCTGCAAATAGTAACATAAATATTTTTATAAGTTCAGGATGTAATTGTATACCATCATCATAATTTCTTTTGATTTGGGCTGCAAGCTCATTAATAGAAAAACAGAACAAAAAAGGGCTTAATACACATCCTTGGCGTACACCAGTATGACATATAAAAGAATCTGAATACATGCCGTTTTGTTTAACACATGATTTAACTTCCTTATAAATACCACATAACAATTTACCCATTTTATTACTGACACCATGTGAATTAAATAGATACCATAACTTATTTCTACAGACTGAATCGAATGCTTTCGAAAAATCTACAAATATAGCATACAATTTTCCACGTTTACGTTGAATATACCTATCTATAAGAGCCTGGAGAATAAACATATTATCAGTGGTTGAGTAACCTTGTCGAAAACCTGCTTGCTCTTCCTCAATCTTATCAAGTGCTTCCGACCACAATACCAAGCGTTTATTAATAATGCTAAGAAATATCTTACTGAATATACTGGTAAGTGTAATCCCCCTATAGTTTACAACATCAGTCACTGAGCCTTTTTTGTGAATTGGAACGATAGTTCCAAGTGTCCAACCTTTTGGAAAGTAAAAGGTATCCATAATTGTATTGAATAATATTTCCAAATACGACAGGGTATTATCAAGAGAGTATTTAAAGAATTCTGTTATAAGTTTATCAAATCCCGGGCTTTTCAAGTTTTTCAGATTTTGAATAACAGATTTAATTTCTTCTTTTGAGATTGGGGAATCTAATATTTCCGTTGCAAAGTTGATTTCATCATTATCAAAAGAGTTCAACTGGAAGTTATTTGTGGAATCATCACCGCTGAAAAGATTTTTGAAGTAATTAAACCACTCATGCATTTCTATGTTACTTTTAGTTTCCTTCTTTTTGCTGATTTTTTCAAGGTCGTCCAAAACTGTTTTGATGAGCTGATACTTTCTTCTAGTTTTTCTCTGCTTCTATCCATCAAATTTTGTTTCTTTTTTCTGCAAGTAGCTTTATACTTATTTTTCGAATCAGTGTACTTAGCAAGTGAGTCTTTATCCTTTAATTTTCTGAAATGGTTTAAAAGAGTGCATCTTTCCTTTTTTAACAACTCACATTCCCAGTCAAACCACTGTTTACTTTCTCTGTTAGGGGTTACTTCCCTTTTCATTACATTCCCTGCATATGTAACAGCTTCTGTAAATAACGATACACTTTCATCAATATTTGTAAAAACAGAATCAATAGCTTCTCTTAGGAGGCATGCAAGAGTGTGTCAAGAGAGAAAGAGGGTATCGAGAGAGATCGTGTCAAGAGAGAGTATGTCAAGAGAGATCGTGTCAAGAGAGAGTATGTCAAGAGAGAGTATGTCAAGAGCGATCATGTCAAGAGAGAGTATGTCAAGAGAGATCGTGTCAAGAGAGAGTATGTCAAGAGAGATCGTGTCAAGAGAGAGTATGTCAAGAGAGATCGTGTCAAGAGAGAGTATGTCAAGAGAGATCGTGTCAAGAGAGAGTATGTCAAAAGAGATCGTGTCAAGAGAGAGTATGTCAAGCGAGATCGTGTCAAGAGAGAGTATGTCAAGAGAGATCGTGTCAAGAGAGAGTAAGTCAAGAGAGATCGTGTCAAGAGAGAGTATGTCAAGAGTATCAAGGGATGGTCGAGAGAGGGTGTCAAGAGAGAGAGATTGTCTGTCTAGAGAGGTTGACGAGAAAGGGCGAGAGAGAGTGGAGAAAGAGCGATTGAGTGAGTGAGTGAGTGAGAGACACACAGAGAGACTGAGAGAGTGAACACAGATCAGTTTCGAGGCACGCTACAATAAGTGCTACAGTCTCTCCACATGAGTGATCTGTGATCAGACCCTGTACTGACACAGTAGTTTCATACAGCGTCTACAGTCAGGAGAACTCTCACTGCTAGAGGAGTTTACAGTTACCTGGTATTTAACACCATCACTGTAATTCATAGGTCTTGCCACCACAATTATATCTACACTTTCACTGGGACAAGCCATCAATCAGGCCAGGAAATGTATTGTATGCTAATGCAGTGGCCAAGAAAAATGACAGACAATTGAAATGATTGACTAGCTCGCCAGCCTGAGGGCAGGAACACCCTCATATAGATATGTAATCCTGTTGCATTACCGACTTTCTTTGTAAAGTCTTTATTCTCCTCACAGAGATAAACATCAAAAGCCAATGAATCAGCTGTATCACCTTGTGCACTTGAAAACTCCTATAAATTTGCTACATGATATTCATCTCGTGGTTTCTTTGCGAATGAATGAATGTCCTCGGTGTGGGAGACTAATAGAAATGTTCATTAAGAGTTATTTCAATTGTTAAATAATGTGACATTTATCATTTTTCAGCATTTCTCTTGCACAAGAGCTGTTATACTCTCTTATAATTCCTCAAAGAAAATCAAAAGCAAGCCATTTAGTTAATTCCCTGTATCTTCAGCACAATCTGCCCTCAGCCGATACCAGTGTTTATTACCTGCAGCTGCTTGCTCTCCATTGATTAATAAAAACATTCCCTTGAGAACAGAATTACTCCGTCACAGAATGAAGTTCTACTCGCATGAGAAACCACTTCAACTTAGTTAATCAGTGAGAAGAGGTATTTAACAGAGACAAGCACATAGAAGATCTACTCGCATGAGAAACCACTTCGACTTACTTAATCAGTGAAAAGAGATATTTAACAGAGACAAGCACATAGAAGATCTACTCACATGAGAAACCACTTCGACTTAGTTAATCAGTGAGAAGAGGTATTTAACAGAGACAAGCATATAGAAGATCTACTCGCATGAGAAACCACTTCGACTTACTTAATCAGTGAAAAGAGGTATTTAACAGAGACAAGCACATAGAGAACTACTCGCATGAGAAACCACTCCAATTTACTTAATCAGTAAAAAGATTTACTTAATCAGTGAGAAGAGGTATCTAATAGAGAAGGTCTACTTGCATGAGAAACCACTCCAATTTACTTAATCAGTAAAAAGATTTACTTAATCAGTGAGAAGAGGTATCTAATAGAGAAGGTCTACTCGCATGAGAAACCACTCCAATTTACTTAATCAGTAAAAAGATTTACTTAATCAGTGAGAAGAGGTATCTAATAGAGAAGGTCTACTCGCATGAGAAACCACTCTGACTCAATTAATCAGTAAAAAGAGGTATCTAATAGGTGTAATCACATGAGAAAGCACTCCGACTTACTTAATCAGTGAGAAGAGGTATCAATTAGAGAAGGTCTACTCGCATGAGAAACCACTCCGACTTACTTAATCAGTGAGAAGAGGTATCTAACAGAGACAAGCACAATGAAGGTCTATTTCTGGGAAGCACTATCCACTATACCACAGGGGCAGCCTTCAATTATTGTAGGTTGGTTGGTATTCAAGGAGAGGAGACTAATTACTATTGCACTCTGATACCCAAAGTGACGACTGACAATGAAGGGTCTGGATCTGACAGAGGGGAACAAGGCCAATACTTACTGGGACAAAGTCTATACTCTCCACCAACTCATTCAGCTCCTCCGCATACACATCGTGGCTGATGATCAACAACGTCTTGTGTATATTACGCACTTTCTTCAATGAGTCTAATAATATCCTGAGGTAGTCATGGCGATCATGCACCTGCACAACAATGACAACACTCTCTGCGTCCAACTTCAAACCGAAACGATCCAAATTATGAATCTTTTGGGCCTTGTTAATTTTGGCTATTTCAGCCTTGATAAGGCTGATATTTGCTGTGTCTATATTGCGATTGATTGAAATAGTAGCATTGTTGTAGTCCCCCGATTTGGGTGGAATGACGAGTTTTGCTCGTGTAGACTGGGGTAGATTGGAATACGGGTAACCTACGGGTTCTCCAAATTGCACGTGCATTTCACCTAAACTACGGTGGTGACCTTGAAGGATGATCTGATGGTCGTATTCCCCGATGCCATCTGGTTGTGACGTCATCAGGATATGCAAATTGAGCATGACGAAAAGCAACATGGCCACCATGAGGATGGATCGGAAGACGCGGCGCGGGTAGATCCTCATCGTAAACTGTCGTCTGCTACCACACTTCAGAAATCACAGATATGCAAAGCCAGCTGCAGCGTTATAACATCACACGCACCAGCTTAGTTTCAACACAGTTATGAACGTCACCGTCCAAAAACATCACTTCTACGATTGCAACATATGTGTTGAAATAATTGAAAACTAGACCGCCAATATATTCAACAAAAAATTTTCTTCTTAGATTGACTGCTGTGAATGGAGACACCAGCAACAGCAGAAGTAGATTTGTTCAGATAGAAATCAGAGTTCCCTTATATGGAAGCGGTGATTGGATCACAGGTCTGATAGGTGGTATCAGGTCGTCTTTCCACTTGGGAAAAATGTGAAGGGATCCTAGATATCACAGGTATATTCCAGCATCTTCATCTGGTTTCCATGGTGATGGACTGGTGGTGGTAAGATGGGCAGTATGGCAGAAGACCTGCTACACGTTACTCTGCCATCGTGTCCATGTTGGTCTTGGGGGAGGAAGGCTGGCTATCCCTCAGTAGGGGGGGCAGCACCTGAAAGACAATGTACATCATTATTATACATGATAAACACTTTGTTGGTTGTTAAATGCTGCACTCAGCCATATTCCAGCTGTATCATGGTGACCTGTAGTAATCAAACACCACATCTTAAAGTCAAGGGGTTCTTGTCATACCCCACATGTAAAAGTCAAGGGGTCCTTGTCATACTCTACATGTTAAAGTCAAGTAGTCCTTGTCATACCCTACATGTTAAAGTCAAGGGGTCCTTGTCATACCCCACATGTTAAAGTCAAGGGGTTCTTGTCATACCCTACATGTCAAGGGGTCCTTGTCATACCCTACATGTTAAAGTCAAGGGGTCCTTGTCATACCCTACATGTTAAAGTCAAGGGGTCCTTGTCATACCCCACATGTTAAAGTCAAGGGGTTCTTGTCATACCCTACATGTCAAGGGGTCCTTGTCATACCCTACATGTTAAAGTCAAGGGGTCCTTGTCATACCCGACATGTTAAAGACAAGGGGGTTCTTGTCATAACCTACATCTTAAAGTCAAGGGGTCCTTGTCATACCCCACATGTTAAAGTCAAGGTCCTTGTCATACCCTACATGTTAAAGTCAAGGGGTCCTTGTCATACCCTTCATGTTAAAGTCAAGGGGTCCTTGTCATACCCTACATGTTAAAGTCAAGGGGTCCTTGTCATACCCTACATGTTAAAGTCAAGGGGTCCTTGTCATACCCCACATGTTGAAGTCAAGGTCCTTGTCATACCCTACATGTTAAAGTCAAGGGGTCCTTGTCATACCCTACATGTTAAAGTCAAGGGGTTCTTGTCATACCCTACATGTTAAAGTCAAGGTCCTTGTCATACCCTACATGTTAAAGTCAAGGGGTCCTTGTCATACCCCACATGTTGAAGTCTAGGGGTCCTTGTCATACTCCACATGTTAAAGTCAAGGGGTCCTTGTCATACTCCACATGTTAAAGTCAAGGGGTCCTTGTCATACTCCACATGTTAAAGTCAAGGGGTCCTTGTCATACCCTACATGTTAAAGTCAAGGGGTCCTTGTCATACCCTACATGTTGAAGTCAAGGGGTCCTTGTCATACCCCACATGTTGAAGTCTAGGGGTCCTTGTCATACCCTACATGTTAAAGTCAAGGGGTCCTTGTCATACCCCACATGTTGAAGTCAAGGGGTCCTTGTCATACTCCACATGTTAAAGTCAAGGTCCTTGTCATACCCTACATGTTAAAGTCAAGGGGTCCTTGTCATACCCTACATGTTGAAGTCTAGGGGTCCTTGTCATACTCCACATGTTAAAGTCAAGGGGTCCTTGTCATACTCCACATGTTAAAGTCAAGGGGTTCTTGTCATACTCTACATGTTAAAGTCAAGGGCTCTTTGTGGAGTATGACTTGAATGTAAGTCTGTGCAGAAATCAAGAGAGAAAGAAAGCAACCATTGGTCAAGTTTCAAAACACATGCAAATTTTGATTTTGGAATGACAACAAAACAAAACTAAATGAATATGCCTACAACTCTTTCTCCATAATAATGTACAAATTTCAGATAAAAAATGATCATATTTTAGGGGAGATTTGCCTAGCCTTTAGACGGCACTGGTGGAAGAGTTTTCATGAACGTACCCTCGTGCAAGAATGGTCACCATGTGTGAATTATGAATTTTGAGCTATTTCTAGTGGCCAAACAGTAAGTAGAATTTAGATTTCTTAGAATATGCCAAGATACATTTGCTTCCAGATTTGTCCATAAAAAATGAAAACTGTGACTTAATCAGTCAAATGTAAGTCTGATTGTAACTCTCTGATTCGGTACACACTACAGACGGAAATAAGACAGCTAAATTGACGAAAGCACTGAAATGTAAATAATATATTTTTTACACACAAACTGTAACACCATTTACAACAGTCGCAGTTTTCTGTTATCACTTTGAATATATCAAATTACGATCTGAGCACACATTGTCGAAGACCTAGAAATTTGATAACTGCAGATTGTTGTCTCCTGCATGCCAACGACATGAACAGCTGATGGTGGTAAACATGCCTCCATACTGATCTATCATTGTCCTCTCAAATAATTCCTCCTACAGTCGACAATGAACAGAAACAGAAATATGAACAGAAATATATACACCAATGTATTCTTTTGTTAATACTAAGGCTAATCTTAAAAAATATTCGCAGTCGAATAATTAATGTCGAATAATTAATTGCAACATAATTTGAGTCACAAATACCGAAAATCAAATACAGTTTGCACTGTGTAAAGATGAAATATCCTTGAAAATTAGCAAAATCTCATCACACCCCAAAAAATCTTATTGCTTTTGGACCAGGGGATATTTTCTCTCATGGGTAAGAATTTCCAGGATAATCCCTGGGAAATCCCAAGTTCGAACACAAGTGGAAGAAATGAACCTAAACAATTATTCGCCCTCATAGTGATCAGAGAAGTACACTCCTGCAAAGCCCAAAATCACATGTTAATACCTCAGAATAGAGGTGTGATCCCTGTAAATGCTGCAGTCATTACTCAGTATCCAGCTCAAATCACTGTGGGCAGGATCTCTAACTTCCCATGTCCCCAGCATGTCATATATACAGGCAGTCGTAATCTGCACCCTCTGTATCAGAAAGTCCCTCTTGTGTTGAGACAGATATTTCCCCAGCTACAGCTGCAAAACCAGATTTAAAAAGCCGAATATGTTTTTCTAAAAACCACATTGCAACAATGTAATTTTTGTGACAGACAATTTCATTTTTTCCCAACAAAATGAAGCATAATTATTTTTTTCACGGATTTATTTTTCTCAATAAAATCTCAGGCCCCTCCACCCAAAATATTAAATGGTCGGCTCCCTATCACATCAATGTTCCTCAATAAACCGCAGAGAAACCTGACACTTTGGATACCTAACGTGTCTCTGTGAAGGCCGACATGACATAAAGCAAGCGACCTGATAGTGTTGTGATCGACCTGATAGTGTTGTGATCGACCTGATAGTGTTGTGATCGCCCCAGTTCTGCATTCAGTACGATAATCAGATTCAGGTACAGAGCTACACCAGCCACACTACCTACCTAGATGTAACACCTGTACAAATCTAATCACATGACACATGTTCGGAAAAAGCTCATAATATTATTTTTTTTCATTTCTCTCTAGATTAACTATCGGCTGAATACCCGGTAGTTTTACTGATCAATAGTGTTAGTTTGAAAATTCCAAAATGTTTAGGGGCAGTTTCTTTCAGTGATTAAAGTTTCTATTTCCCCTAAATCAGCATTTCTGGATTTGAGTATGAGCACTCCAACAGAATATGCCAATGTATAATGGGTAGCTGACAATATTCATAAACACAAAACAGCTATGTGCAATAAACCCGAGGTTGTTATCCATAAAGTTGTACATTTTCTAACACACAAAACAGAAGAAAATTCATCTCCTATGGAGATCTGAACGAATGTGTGACTTCTTTACATACAGACATGTCTCATGTTTCTCTATTCATCCATTAAGAATAAACAAAGTCACTAAAAAAACACTGTAAACTCAGATCTATGCTGTACATACCAAACTTGAAGTCACTGATAAAACAAATTACACAAAAACAATGTCTTAGTTTCATTCCTGCCACTTGTAACATCCAAGATCTAGGCACTGGACCATGAATTTAGTCCAATCAACACATACAATATGCTACTCCTGGGTTGTGGAGAGCTCAAGTACAACACAAGTGGGAAGAACACATCCTTGTCCTCCAGATTTCATTGTCTCAGACATATATGCCTAACAATAGAAAATTTGATCAACAAAACCACCGCCAGACAAACAGCCCCAGTTTGCTCCTATAGTCATGTGTCAACTTTCTCTGGCCAAACACACACGCAGAGTACCAACACACGCAGAGCTACTGGGCCACAGATTATGTGGGGATTGCGAACGTAACGCCGCTCTCCTGGAACAAACCAGGTACAGTTCTACAGCAGGACAAACACGCATCTGTTTAAACCAATGTGCTGAAAATATACACCCATCTGTTTGGCTTTATCACCTGGACGGAAAGTCCAACACGAGAACCCTCTTACGTCAGCTCTCGTTTACAATACGTATTTACTGCAAACCATCACATATCGGCTACGCACATGTACAAACATCAATATGGACAACCTTTTTTCCAATTCACCTGAAAGGGTCGTGTACTTGAGGAAATTAGAAAGGGTGATATAATCTTGTTTGTCTGGAACTGGCAGATGCCAGAAACTAGGATTAAACATGTTAAAAGCATATTTAACTTTCTTTTCTTTTCATTTCCCACACTCAACTAGTAATGACAAGTACTTAAACATCATTATGATGATGATGATGATGATCATCATCATCATCATCAACAACACCACATCATCATCATCTTCATCATCATCAACAACACCAATATATATCAAACAGGTCTAGAGAAGTCATAAAACTGTTCACCATCACCATGATCACCATGACAACCATCATCTTCAAACTTGATTCTTCCAACTTATCACAAATCAATCAAACAGATCTGGAGAAATATCTTTGATATATGGTCTCGGCAACTTTGATTAGACCTTCGGTATGCCTTTTAAAGGGTCACTTCAGCATAGTATTTCAACATGTTGCCAAAGCATATTTAGACATTCTGTATGCCTCTTAAAGGGTCACTTCAGCATGAAATTTCAGCATGAAGCCAATGCTTATCTAGACCTTCTATATGCCTCTTTAGTTTAGGCTAATTCTGGACAGTGTTGGCAAGGATTGAGGATAGATTTATGCTGCTTTTAGCTATATTCACGCAAATTCAAACATTGATTCCATGATCAATGAAAAATAAAACCTGTCACTCAAGCTCACTGAGCAGATGGACCAGTGTGGATATTGTAACTGAAATTTATACTAATGGGAAACGAATAAAAGCTCCAAGCTTTCAATACTTAATTTGAACAAGGATAAAATGTTGCATAGATCTGTTGT